GGATGTGTTCGCACTGCTTGTTAATAACTTGCTACAAGATTGTTCAGCTCAACAGACATGTTACACGTTGTTCCAACAACTTGTTATCGTCCTGCAATTCAACAACTTGTGAACAAGTTGTGAGTGACAAGCGAAACATGATTGATATACCTGCTGGTTGCAGTGAACGAACAAACTTTAAACTTAGTAGTAAAATAACAACATCGCCACAAATTATTGACAAGCTTGCTACAAACCTGCTGCGAACACATCTTGTTAAAAGTTGTGAGATTTTTACGTGTGTTGTCATTATTATATGATTTTGGTTTCTGTTTTGCGCTGTCCAAGTGTTCCCAAACAATCTGTGGTGAGAAGCTTCCGACCTAGTTAAAGGTCAACACTGTTCTTTTCCTGTAGTTTTGAACAATTTTGCATCAACTATTGCAAACTCCAGCAACTGTTGATTGAGCTGACATTGAAATCTGAACAAGAGGAATATATGAGGGAAGGCATTAAGGTTTGTGATAATTAAAATTATAATAATAATGATTAATTTAATGTTGATTGCACAAGCCGTGGTTGCGCAATTCACCTGAGGCTCGCAACACTATCATGTATTATATTAAAACATAGTTGGAACAGTCACGAAAGCTTTATTTTGTTCATTTAAAACTTGAAATATCCCCTGCAACAATGCGTGACTACCAACTCTCATCAACTCTTATCCTCGTTTGACCGAGGCTCAGTTAAACCCTGCTCAAACCACGAGAGTTTGCATGAGAGTTGATGAGAGTTGAGAAGCGAGAGTTTGCATGAGAGTTGATGAGAGTTGAGAAGTGAGAGTTTACATGAGAGTTGATGAGAGTTGAGAAGCGGGAGTTTACATGAGAGTTGATGAGAGTTGAGAAGCGAGAGTTTGCATGAGAGTTGATGAGAGTTGAGAAGTGAGAGTTTACATGAGAGTTGATGAGAGTTGAGAAGCGAGAGTTTGCATGAGAGTTGATGAGAGTTGAGAAGCGAGATTTTGAATGAGAGTTGATGAGAGTTGAGAAGCGAGAGTTTGCATGAGAGTTGATGAGAGTTGAGAAGTGAGAGTTTGCATGAGAGTTGATGAGAGTTGAGAAGCGAGAGTTTGCATGAGAGTTGAGAAGCGAAAGTTTGCATGAGAGTTGAT